ACACTATACCTCTGTTGATGCAGCCTAGAATTGCATTGGCTTTTTTAGGGGCTGCATCACACTGTTGACTCATGTTCAACTTGTGGTCTACTAGGATTCCTAGATCCCTTTCACATGTTCTGTTGTCAAGCCAGGTATTCCCCATCCTATATCTGTGCATTTCATATTTTTTTCTCCCTAAGTGTAGTACCTTACATTTCTCCCTACTGAAATTCATTTTGTTAGTTAATACAATACACATTGAATTGGGTGTTCCATATGATACATGTATCATACTATCATTCTGCCTCATTTATGGAATTTCACAGAGAGGTCCATAGATCGCTGTCTTCCCATGGTAAACATCCCATGTTATCTGATAATTTCTTCCATCCTTTCCACAAAAGATATAGTAAAAATTCTAATAACTGAACAGTGTATTTTGACTGGTAGTATCAGGAGTTGCTCATCTGGAAAAAGCACCCTTGGCAACTACACAGCACAGTGTGTAAATAACTATAGTTTGTGAAGGCTAGAGATTCAAGGGCTGGCAGACTAGTTATAGGTATAGTTAAGGCAGTTCCACTCCACGTCAAACAACAGATTAACCTCCAGAGGACTTGCTTGAAGAGATGTCTGCCATAATTAATTGGCTTATGGCTTTGGCAATGGATGACACAGCCTAGACGGTTCTAGCTGGAAGGGTAACATGACACCTCAACTCCAGTGTTAACTCTCTCACAGCGTAAGACAGCAAAAGACCTCCGCTACCCACCCACTCAAAAAAGTCCATATGGAGAAAAACAAACATAAAACACATCTTGGCCTCTGGCCTGCATAATTGAATTGATAAAGATTATTTGACTAACCACTAAAATCTATTTTATGTACATTTCTTTAAGTCAGGATTCATGGAACTGCAGGGCTAAAGACCTGAAGCAGGCCATTGATCATCATTAGCAATAATATTTATACAAGTTCTTACAGTCTTTTATTCACACAACATCCTTGCAAAATGGATTGTTATTATCTCAGGGTTTTGACACCCAATTAAAAGAAAAATTGGATGATTAATCACTTGCCTTGAACCAATCAGTTAATTGATCGATTACACTGAATACATTTGCAGATATCCAAAACTTTAGTAAACTTATATTTTATAATACTGAAGTGCAAGATATTTAACTCATCTTTTTTTTAAAAAA